GCACGTGAGCGTGTGCACTAAACAGAGTGGGAAACCGCAGGCTGGAGGGCAGGATCCCCTGGCAAATGAGCTTCCGAAGCCTTGCTGTTCTGGCTGGGCGGCCGTGAACCCAGAGGATGGAGTGGACGTCGCCTTATTAGTGTTTCAAACCAGCACCTTTCCCAGAAAACTCTCCAACTATTTTTACTCCAAAGGGGGAAAACTAGCCACTTCTCATGCAGAATGTGACAGGTTCTGAGATAGAAAAGAAAATATTTTAGAACGAACAGGAGAGGAAACATAATTTATTGGGATTCTCCTGTCTAGGCAGAGAGGATACCTTCCACGCATCCTTAAAACCCAGCCACGAGCCTTGTAGAGCAGGAAGGGTGATCCGCAGCGCCCAGCCTGGCGCCCACTCCAGCAATACCTGTTGTCATCAGACCCAGGACTTAATGGGACTCTGTAGCTCGCTCTACTGCAGAACAGAGCCACTCTGCCTGACAGCATCGTCCGCTAGGAGTGACAGTATCGGGCCGCCAGCTGCGCTTTGCAGCTCTTGTATCCTGACGAAGGACCACCAGCCTTGGGCTTCTCCTGCGGGGAGCAGGCGTGTCCTCAAGTCACCAGGCATTTGGCAGCTGCTCTGCCTCGTAGGAGATGTGCTGTTGCTCCATGGGAGGGGCACAGATCTGGGAGCCTGCAGACCTGGGTTCCAATCATGCCTCTACTTCTTATTCTCTGTGGATCCTTCGTGGGCCCCTTGGAGCCTCATCCTCCTCATCTGTAAAATGGGACACACAGCCTCTCTTGCAGGGTGGCTGTGAGGACAAAGGGAGATAAGCTGAGCATTCCCCTTGGTCTTTGGCATCAAGTAGATGCTCAATAAATGGTGCCGGCTTCCTCCCTGCGCAGGGGATAATGCCAAAGGTGTCCCCGTGCTGATCTCCAGACCTCTGAACGTGTCATCCTACAGAGCCAAAGGGACCTCGCAGGTGTGACGAAGGCTTCGATTCTGGGCAGAAACAGGTTCTGCCTTACGCGGAGCTTCCAGAAAGAGTCCCGCCTGCCCTTCCACGTGGGACCTCCCCGGACTGACCACCTTCAGGGCTGGGGAGATGACAAAAGTGGGTGGAGGTTTGTTAAAGTAAAGGTGGGAAACTAACCCACCTCCCTCTGCCCAACTCTCGGTGCAGACCACCCGGGCACGGGGCTGTGCCCACCATCCCCCAGACCTCCATCCCCAGAGCCTCTCTCCACCCAGTCGCCCCCAGTCGCCCCCAGTCTCCCCACGAACCCGGGGAGCTCACTCTTGAGAGCCCACCACGCCCTTAACCCACTCTCCAGGGGACTCTGCCAGGTGAACTGGGCTCTCAGGGTGCCCGGCCACAAGGCCACAAGTCTCCACCCGCAAGGGTGCCCGGCCACGGGCTCAGACCCTGCTGCTCAGTAGTGCCCGTGGACCCTCCCGTGGTTCTGCACGGTCCTCGGGCCTCCGGAACCAACAGACTAGGAGGTGAATGAGGAGCCTGCGAGGGGCCACGTGGCCTCAGGCCGGGACCCAAATCAGGTGGCAATGAGTCGCTGATCCCCTTCAAAGGCCGCGTCAGCTGCAAACACAGCCCGGCCAGAGCAGCCTCCCGGTCACTGCTGTGGTCTAGGTATGAAGCACCCCGGAAAGCTGCGTGAGTCAAGGCAGAAGGTTCAGAGGTGAGATGGGGGTTCCCTCACCTGATCAGTGCCTCGCCCCCCACAGGGATGGACTGGGTGGTAAAGCAGGTGAGTTGTGCTGGGGAGGGGGCCTGGAAGGTGTGCCTTGGGGTTACATCGTGTCCCTGTTGAGCAGAGCTCTCGCTCTGTGTCCCCTCCCCTCCTCTGCACCCTGACGCCATGCTCCCCATAGCTCCCCTCCACACCCTTCCTGGTGATGTCCCACCCACCTTGGTCCAGAGCCATCTGGGAGCCCCAGTGTCCCACGGGAGGCCTCTGTGACATGAGGGTCGGCAGTATCCCACCTGCAGTGAGCAGCAGGTGACCATCTAGCACAGAGCCAGCAAGGTCAGCAGAGGCGCGTCCTTGCAGCTCTTAGAAGCTCCCCTGGATGGCTCCTGGGATGACCTGCAGGCTGGCCACGCCCAGGGGACAGATCCCCAACAGGCCTGGCTAGGAACCTGGCTCTGCCCACTGCAGGAGTGGCCTTGGGGACTCTCCTGGCCTCAGCCTCCACAGTGGAATGGGGGTGGGGGGGACAGACCTGGCCCCGCAGGCCCTGAGAGTGTGCTCAGGCTGGGGCTTTGCCTCAGCAGCAGCGCTGGGAGCCACGGTGGCCCTGGGAACAGCTGGGGGACAGGAGGGTTTTGCATTTCAAAGGGACACTGGGCCTTGATCTCAGCCCCTCTGTGGGTTGTCAGATCAAAAGGCAGAATTTCTGCTGAGCAGCTTAGACCGGCACAGCGCAGAGCAGCTTCCAGAAGTGGCAGCAGATGCCACAGGGTTGGGGTGTGGAGCGAGACCAGTGGTTTTGGACAGACGTCCCCCCCCCCAGAGCGCTGCAGCCCACGCTCAGTACACACCCCGGGCAGTGTCCTCACGGCACCAGGGGAGGCAGGGTGGCGGCCACCTCATGAGACGGAGGAGAAACTGAGGCTCTGGAGAATCCGTCCTAGAACGCGGGGGACTTGGCGGTTGGCCCTCGAGGCCCACGCTGCACACAGAAGGGGAAACACGGGCCAGGCCATGGTCAGAGCCTGGGCAGCCAGGAATGATCAGGCAGGACCCCACCCTGAGAAGAGCCTGCTCGTGGAGGGGGAGGGAGTCTCAATGTCAACTAGGAATCGCCGATTCACATGAGGTGGACAAGATGCAAGGGACCAGCGACCTCATGGAGGTCCCCAGAGAGACTCAGGAAGGCTTCAGGGAGGAGGTGGCAGGGTCAGGACCTGGGAGCCTCCCTTCCCAACCAGCCTCCTGCTGCCTCACTCCAGCCTCAGGAGAGGGAGGCAGGGAGGGCCCAGAGGCCACATGCAGGATTTGGGGTTTTAAGCAGAGACATGGTTGAATCTTTATTTTCAATAAATTCCTTGGAACTGGAAGACGGGAGCGTTATATAGAAGAGAGCTCTGGGATTTTCTCTTTTCTCTTTTTTTCCCTTTTGAAAATACATTTAAAATTGCCAAAAACAAAAATGAAATCCCCTCTAATCCCATCCCCGAAAATAGTTGCTTCTAGATATTTTACTTACCTACACACACACACACACACACACACACACACACACACGCACGCACACACACACACACACACGCATATAGGTTTTTATGTAACAGAGATGTCCGCCTCTCAAATCCAGTCATCTCTTTTCCCCATGAACATGGCTGAGTGCCTACCATGTGCCAGGCAGAGCCCCTGGGGACAAGGCTAATGGAAGTCCCCTCTGCTTGGTGGCTCCAGAGTCCCTCCCTGCCTGCTCTGTCACGAGGACCTTGGTAAAGCCGCGCCCAGCAGCATGAGGCCAACAGGGCTCCAGTGAAAGAGCCCAGGCTCAGTCACCCACAGGCTGTGTGCCCTCAGGCTGGTTGTTTTACTGCTCTGAATGTTAGTCTTCCCAAACGTTAAGGGGACCCCAGCCCAGCCTCTTCGCTGCTTCCCAGTGAGCAAAGGTATGAAGAGGGACGGGAGGGGGCTGTTTTGTCTCAGGTGGTCAGGAAAGGCCCCCTGAGTAGGTGGCATTTGAACTGAGACGGTCCCAGAATATAAAGATTGAACACCCTTCAGTCCAGGGTCTCCACCCCGAATCCTCCAGGGGCCCGGGGGTCACTGGGCAGGCAGAGAGCACTCAGGAGAGCCGAAGAGAGGCTGTGCTCAGAGAAGAGGGAGGTCAGATGGGGGAGGGCCGTGTCCACGCAGAAACCTCAAGACCCTCCCGTGGGAGCAGAAACTGCCCCGCCCCAGCTCCGGGTCTGGACCAGAACTCCGGTTTCTCAAGAGGAAAACAAACAAACAAACAAACAGATTTTTTAGGTGTAAAATCCCAATTTTTAAACATTGCCAATTTGTTCAATTTTTTTTTTTTCAAAAGACATCTTGAGAGGGGCGGCTAAGCCCTTGGGCTGGATCTCTGCATCTGTGCAGCCTGATCTGGTCCAGCCCCAGGTAATACGTGCAGGGGCTGGGGGTGGCCAGTTCTCTTCCAGGAGAAGAAGCTCAAGTTAGTGTCTGTCTGTCTGTCTGTCTCTCCTCTCCCTTCTCCTGCCCTGGTCCTCGGCACCCTCTCTCCACCTCTCACCTGCCCTCCTCCTCCCCCCTCCTCTCTCTCCCTCCCGTCCCCCTCCCTCGGTGCCCAAATTTGTTTTCGGAACCTCGGAATCCTTCCCAAGCCTCTGACATTTACTCTTTGGGATTAGGATAGTTTCTATTTCCCTTTCCCAGAGCGAAGCTGGTGGTAAGATTTCCCCGGGGTTCATGCCTGCCCTTGTGGAGGTGAAGTGCGGGGCCAGATCCACGTCACCAACAACCATTGGGCACCCTCTGTGTACCCACCAAGGTAGAGGGCAGTGGGAGCAGGTGCCACTCTCAGAGGAAAATGTCCTGGTCAGTCGGAAGGAAAATGACTGACAAACCCCTGGCTAAGCACACACCAGGTCCTACGCCAGCACTTTCCCACACTGACTGGTCTCTTCTCGTGGTTCCAAAAGTATGCACTGTTATCATCTCTAGGTGACAGACCAGCAAAGTGAGGCTCAGAGAGACCGTGTAGCTCATTCAGAGTCCTGCTGGAAACACAATCTTGACCAAGGTCACCTGGCTTCAAAGTCCAAGCCTTAACCACTGCCCTGCACGCCCCCTATGGCCTCTGACCGAAGCCAGTCTCGCCCTTGAAGATGAGGGGCTGCCTTCAGCAGAAGAGTGGAGAGCGTCCCTAAGCAGGGGCTGCCGTGGCCGGGGTGAGCGCAGCACCTGAGGGCAGGCAGGACCTCGCAGTGTCCAGTGGGAGCCCACGAGGGCCTGGCGTGGGCTAGGCAGTAGCCGGGAGGGGACCCGTGGCCGTGCCTTTGTGCTGGTTGAACAGGAGGTGGCTGTGAGAGCCCGGCGATGACATCCCCTGGACTGGCACCTTCCTCAGAGCTCCTTACCTTAAGCAGCTGGGGAGAGCGTCCACTGCGGGCCACGGGTCGGCCAGCTGCAGGGAGAGCACCGGCAGGCTCTGCGGGATTGAGCGGCCTGCAGCCCTGCCACCCTGCCCATCGAGACCAGATAAGAGTGAGAACTGGTCCCGTGGCCCCACCCAGAGGCCGGGGTCTCTGGGAAGTGTAGTCCCTGCCTGGGTGGCCCTTCCAGTCAGGCCTCAGCCTAGCCCTCATGTCGTCACCACCCTGCCACCCTCAGAGCTTTAGTGTCCCTGGGCTGCTGCAATCAGGCACTGCCAATCCGATGGCTTCAAACAGCACAAGTGCTGTCCCCGGTTCCCAAGGCCAGAAGCGCCCAGCCCAGGTGTCAGCAGGGCTGCGTCCCCCGGGAGCTGCTGGGGAAGCTGCATCCCAGGCCTCTCTCTGGACGTCTGGTAGCCTCAGTAGATAGATGTCCGGCCTGCAGATGGCCATCCTCCCGAGTCCCCTCACATCCTCTTCCCCAAGTGTCATGTCTGGTCCCAGATCGCCCCTTTCCCTAAGGCGATCCGTCGTATTGCACTAACGCTCACCCTAGTGACGTCATTGGAACTCTGCGAGGGCCTTATTTCCCACTGAGCTCACTTCTGAAGTGCAGGGGTCAGGACGCGAAGGGCTCTTTCCTGGGGGACAGTTCCATTGCCAGCAGCCGTCATCTCCCCTCTGTGAGCAGCACTGCGGCCATTTTTACCATCATCAAAGGCATCTTGGGGGGTCGGGGAGGAGGGTGGAGAGAGACGCGGGGGAGAGCCAGGCTGTGGGGCTGATGGAAGTGGATCCAGTCCTCCCTCGGTCTCATCCTTCCCGAGGAGCCTTCC